GTGCCCTGTGCTGCCTTCTCTGCACCAAACCTTTCATTCCCAACCTCAGTGCCCTGTGCTGCCTTCTCTGCACCAAACCTTTCATTCCCATCCTCAGTGCCCTGTGCTGCCTTCTCTGCACCAAACCTTTCACTCCCAGCAGCTGCCTGAGGTCCCTTTCCTTTGTGCCATTTGCTGTGCTCACAGCCAGGGAAGGCTCCCAATGGGCAGGCAGAATTTTCCCCATTTATTGTCTTTCCAGAAGAGAAGCAGAATATTAAGCAGGCAATTTTAAAGGACAGGGGGGAAAAAGAAAGAAAGTAAAAAACAAAGGTTTGAATCACACTGTAATTAACGTGGTGATCATGCCAGTTTGAAAATCACTAAGAGAATTTTGTGATAGTGAATTTCCCATCCTGCAAGGCTGTGAATAACTGTAATTTAACAGATGCATCCAAAATGTACATGCATCAAGCTAAATCTCTAAAATTATAGCATATGCATGTTCTTAATATAGCTAGTGAGCATGTGTGCCTATGCACACACAGCCAAATATTTACTGTGACATATAGAAACCCACATTTCTTCATCAATGTAAACAAATGGGTTCTATCTACTTCATTTCCTCATACTGTGATTAAAATTCATGCTGGCCAGCTTAGTGAGGTTACAGGTACCAGCTTGGCTCCTAAGTACTGCTCCATTTGTGAGGCTCCAGAGGTCAGAAGAATTTTATCTGCCCAGTGTGTTGGATCACAAACCTGTGGCCCATTCAGCACTTTTATCTGATGCAATTCTCAGTGTCCCTGCTATCAATGCCCTGTACAGCACTGCTGGTGTGATACAACACTGCTGCTTTAGGGTGTCTGCACACTCCTACACTCATTGTCTGTTCTATAATGTGAACTTGCAGAGCACATCTTGCAAGGGAAAAAGAAAGTGGGTGATGTTATGGCATCACAGAAATCAGCTTTCCTCATTTTATCTCATCTAATTGAGAGATGCTTCTGTTGCCAAGTGATTTATACATCTGGGCTTCCTTGATGTACAAATCAAAGTGTTTGTTACACTAAAAGTGGCATGTAATTGCTTGTCAGCAGTCACCTTGCTGTAAGAAATGTGAAAGAAATCAAAGGAAATGTAGAATATTACTGGAGATGCCTTTGACAATGAACAGGACTGTGTAAATGGCTGATCAGCTCTGAAAGGGAAATATCTGGTGAAGGGTTTTGGTACAAATATAAGCTCAAAAGGTTTGGGCTCAAAGGAATTCAATCTCTAATCCCTAAACTCTGTGTGTGTTTGGCCTCTCAGAAGCCAAGCAGAGCAGAGGGGAAGGCCCAGGCTCTGTGCAAGGGGCTGATCTGCACCTGCAGTGTCTGCACACATCTCTGTGCCCTGTGCATCCTCTGTCCCATCTCTGTGCCCTGTGCATCCTCTGTCCCAGCTGAGGGAAGGCAGCAGAGCTCACAAACTGCACAGCACTCGTGGAGCTCTGTCACACCTCTCCCCTTCAGGCTGCTCCTCCTGCAAGAGCCCCATTCCCACAGGCACCTGTGGGCACTCCCTGAAATGTGAGAGCAGCCAGTGATGGCAAAGAGCAGGGAGTGCAAGAGGTGGAAAATAAGGGCTACAGAAGGAGCAGGAGAAAGAAAGCACATGCTGAGAAAAGGAGCTTGATGGAAGGTGGAGAAGGACAAGTAGGAGAGCAGGGGAAATGGGGGAAAGTGGGGATATAGAGAAAAGGAGAAATGAAAACGGCTGAGAGACCTCCCTCCATTATCAGCAGGGTAACATTATGCCTGATAACTTCCTTTAGTGCATGACTTCATTTCTATAAACCACGGGCCAGTCTGAGAGCTGGGAAGCTGATGGAATGAACCAGAGCTCAGATTCCCTGCCCCATACTCAGCAGGTTTAAAAAGAAGGATTTTCCTATCACAAGAACATCAAAACTGCTTTATCTTTCATATATGAGCAATGGAAAAAGAACAAAAATTGTGAACTTTCACCACACTCATGATGGAAAACTCAACATTACAATACTGGGCTCCCATGTTAAATGATAACGTTAAAAAGTTTAAATTTCGCTTTGACAATCCTAGAGCCAGGCTCTGTATCAAAGCACATCTGGATTAGTCCTCCCCTTGCCAGGCACATCCAGTGATGCCACACAGAGCTCACAGATCCCTGGGACTGCACAGAAGAGCTCATGCTCAGGTACAGAGCTGCAGTTAGGCTGCTTAGTCACACCCCGCACTCTCTGGGCAAAACCTGCCTCCAAACCAGGGCTGAACAATGGGAATTTACTGAGTCACTCCATGCCAGCCTATGGACTGTCATCCCCCACAGCTCCTGCATGATGAACTGCAGCAACTCCTCTGCTGGAAACTGCTGATTTGCTGCAAGTGACTCACAGGAGATGTTTAGATGTCTAATGAAAAGTAATCTTTCCAGGGAACATCCCTCCCAGCTATTCTGTGCTGACTCCAGAGGGTGCCAGGCCCTGGAAGCTGCCCCAGGCAGCACTGGGAGCAGTGTGGGAACAGGGCTGGAATGTTCCCTGCCCCTTTCTCTCCCTGCTGGATGTGCAGGGCTTTCATCTCCCACCAAGCTCAGTACTCTCAGCCTCCTGGGGAACAGACTGCGTCTCCAAACAACAGCATTTCTTCTGATTTTGGTTGTTTCTAGAGAGAAAAGTCCTTCCCTGAGAAAGGCTACACATGATTTTCAACACACTCTTTAAATCAGGTATAGTTTTGAAGCTCTAACACGGTTTTGTTATTTCTGCTACCCTTTCCTGTGCAGCCAGCAGCAGTGTTTCCATCAGTGCCTCTGCTTTGCAGGGGATTCTGCACAAACCCTGCCCCTCTCCTGCCTAGTGACTGCACACACAGAGCCCTTCCTGCACCACAGCCCTTGCAGGACCACTGATTTTATTCCTCTGCTCATTAAAGAACACATTTCCCCCCCATTTCATGCATTTTAAAGCATCTCTCTAATGAGTTCACATACCAGGCATTAATATTTCTTTCAGCACTTTTCCATTAGCTGTGTCAAGCTGGATCTACTGCCATTTGTCATGCTGCACTGAGGGGCTGATAATGATGCTGCTGTTGCTGTGGTGATGGCAACACCAGGAGTATTTGGTTGTGCCTCCAGCTGTGCAGGGGTGTTTGGTTGTGCCCCTGGGTGTTTGTGGCTGGCTCTGGGAGCCAGGGCTGTGTGTGCTGTGTGTGCATGGGGCATGTCTGAGTGTGCTGCCATGCATTGCAAGCTGTGTGTTCTGTCTGTGCACACCCCATGCAGAATTGAGCCTGTTTTATCATTTAGCATTTCCTGTCCTTTACCATTTAGCATTTCCTGGAGTGCCAGCCCAGCTCCTGCAGAGGGCAAGGGCACAGACCAGCCTGTGCTGGTGCCCTGGTGCTCCCTGACATTCACCAAATTTGCACAGTCACAGACACTTCCCCAGCACAGCCCTCTCTGGGCAGGTTTAAATATTGCACAGCCTAACCTAAACATCCCGACACAAAACCTTGGCACTCCCTGGCTTCTGCAGTTTTTTAGCATGGCTTGGGTTGTTTTCTCCTCAGAGAGCACCAGGTTAACACAGCAGTCAGCTCTGGAGCCAGGCTGATGGGGCTCTGATCAAGCTGGGACAGGGGAAGGGAGGTTTCAGAAGGAGATCAGCTTTAAGAAACCTAATATCTTTAAATCACCAGTGACACTGGGAACTTGATCATGTTCCTTCTGATTTACACTACTGCAGAATTGAAAAGTTTGCCCTTTCAAGTAATTTATTTCCCCTTTTATTGCAGCTCCAGAGCAAACCCAAGACTATCTCTGACTTCCAGTAGAGTGACCCATGTGTGAAAAATATCTCCTTCCCTTTATCAATAAACTCCAATTTATATTTATCATATTTCTCCATTTCATCAAAGTATTTCTTTACATTTATATTCTTCCTACAAAGAGTTGGTGACATTTTTATTGAAAAGAAAGCGATATCAGAATTCAATTAATAATTTTAGAAGTATTCTGCATATCCACACTGGAAAGGTTATGTTGTTGTTTTAAAAGGAATATTTCTAAGGACATGTATGTGTAAGAGTTACACTGAAGGCATTAAATTAACACAATAAATATCACCTCAAATTATTATATGTATTTTTTGTGATACCCATTTTTCACTCTGCAATATTTATTCTGCTGAAAAAAAAAATAAACAGCCCTTTAAAATGTGGATTTGTGAAGGAAGATGTAAACCAGCAAGGCCCAAAGTGACAATAATGCTTTGAGCATCATTGAACTCTTTTGCTCTCAGGCCTGGGATGTGTCAGTCGCTTCAGGGAACTCAGGGAGGTTTTATTGGTACAAAACTGGCACAGGATAAAGGGCAGCCTGCTTGTTTTTAACGAGTGAAGTGAGATTATTTACTACTCAGTTCCCAGGCTGAAAGTGCACTCTGCAGCATTTATCCACTGGGAGAAACTGCAGAAAAGGGAGCACCCTAAATTCCCCAAAATAATACCCTGAACTGGGGGCAGCTCAGCAACTGCACCAACAGCACACTTAAATCCCAGCAGAGTTAAATCCCAACTTTGTTCAAAGTCTGGGCTGACACCTGGGGCTGGGTGTGAGCAAAGAGCCAGATCCTGCAGGGAACGGGCCAGGAGTACTGATCCCAAAATCATAAACAGTCCCAATGATCTCAAAATTTAAACACAAGCTCCCATCCAGAAGTGGGAAGATGCCAGATCAAGTCACAGGAACATTTGTAAATCTCACTCTCTGTTTCTTTTTTCTCTTTTAAATATTCCTTTTAAATATTCCTTGGTCACTGAGGCCATGAAAATTCCCTTCATTTCTCCGTGCTGTTGCCTACTTAATGAGGTAAATAAACATTGTATTATTCCCCTCTGATGAGTACACAAGCACCAAAGCCCAGAGCTGAACAGTGAAACAAACAGTAAATTATTTCAATCCTCTTAATCCCCTGCTTTTTTGGCAGATAATGCCACAAGTCATTTGAGCTTAGCAGCCACAGATTGAAGACAGATTTCTTTTTAAACTTTGAAAATGTTCAAATTGAATGAACTAACAAACAGAATTTTTACCCAAACAGGGAAAAATAGAAGAACTTTTCAAATATGACACTGGCTATCAGATCACTTTTATGGGTTTTTTTGCCATGAGTCTGAATACTGATTTTTTTGGGAGGACAACTTTCCCCTGTCCAATCCCACGCCAGGCAAGTCCCATGAATCCCAGTAAACTGAAATAACCTTTTCCTCCAAACTCCTGCCCCAAAATTCTTGGAGAGCTGCCTGTGGTTGAGCTGGAATGCATCTGGAAGCGTTTGAATCGAGTGCAGCTTGCCCAAAAGGCAGCCTGGCTTCCTGCAGAGGTGTCGGGGATGAAAGGGGATTGTGGTGGACACAGCATTGTTGCTGTGAGCTCCCAGGGAGCTGAAGTGACTCTGGAACACTCACCACAGCTCCTCAGGGCTGCTGAAATACCTTTTAGAAGATCTTTCAGAAGGTATTGACCTTCTAGAAGGTATTTCAGCAGGTATTGACCTTCTGGAAGGTCTTTCAGGACACATTTGCTGCTTGCCCTCCTGCAGGGAACAGCTCCACTCAACAGCATCCCCTGCACCAGGAGGTCACAGAGCTTCACCCAAAGCACCAGAGCTGCAGCCTGGAGGTACCAGAGGCTGTAAAGGCTCTGACCCACCAGCACAGGTAACACAAGTCCCACTGAGTCCAACTAGAGGAGGCTTGGGTCTATTTACTGTAACACAGTCGATTCCCAGAAAAATAATTAACTCCTTGTCGTGTCTCATGTGTATTGATTTCAGTAATTACAATGGAATTGGAGGCAAGGGGGCAGGGGGAAGGAAATGCACTTGATTTGTGTTTAATTTGATGCACAAGCTGTCAGGGACAGAGCCATATGTGCAATGCCCATCCGGGCACTCTCCGTGCCACAGTGCAGGATCCAAAATCACTCCCTGCCTGACACATGCAGAGCACAGAGCTGGGCATCCCTCCCACTGCAGGCAGACAGCAGCCCAGGGGGACAAGGACAGGACAAGCTCCATGTGCATCAGTGGCTGAGAGGAGGAGACAGAGCACTAGGGTGGGTGAGAAAGAAAATACAAGTTGTGACTGATAATAGAGCTGCCAGCAGATAATGTAAGGAAAAACAGGGAGTGAGAGAAGAGAAAATACAATATGGCCCTGCTTGGTGATGGTGCTGTCAGGAAAAGCCAGCTGGGGGGAGCCTGGAGCTACAGAACTTGGAACTACAGAACCTGGAACTACAGAACCTGGTTCCACACCTGGCTGTAACCCTCAGGATGTGCAGGGTCACAGGTCAGTGTGTCACACAGACACTGCCATCACACAGAGCCACCTCTGTGCTAACTAAAGCCCATCCTGCCCTGGCTCCTGCAGTACCACAAGGAGCTGTTTCCAGCCTTTTCCCTAAATGTACCAGTTCAGGAAGTCTCCAACTCTCACAGGAGTAAAAAAGCCCTTTCTTATACAATAGCCCTGCAAATGGAAGTTGCAAAACAGTCTCACATCCAAACACTAGCAAGAAATGATACATGTGAGGGAGAGGCAGAGCTTAGGGCTATTAATCAGCCCTGAGTTAAGCACTTTCAGCTAACCCTATGATATTTTAAACAAAACAAACCAAACCAAACCAGCCTCCAGGACAGGGAACTACTCTGCATCCAGGCTGTGCAGTTTCTAAAACAACAGCACTCCAAGGCAAATGTTCTCCTGGTGCCCTGCACACACCACAGGAGAGGAAGCTGCTAAGCCATAGTTTGAGAAAAGCCAACACGATGGGAGAGGCTGTGGCAGTGTGCTGGCAACACTGGGTGCCACAGCATCCTCCCTGGCTGGGAAAGGGCTGTGAGCACAGTCAGAGCACAACAACACACTGGGAGCACCAATAAATAACCCAGCAGCACTGAGGGATGACAGCAGATCTGTCTCCCGTGGAATCATTGCTGAGAATATTGAAAATTCTTTCCCTCTTAATATATGAAACTCTTTGTTTGGGGCTGAGTTGATGCTGCCAGAAAAGCCTTTTAACACAGGCAGCATAAATTTCAGTGGGTGTTTGAAGCAGGAGAGGCTGGGCTGTTGAAAAAGCACCCCCAGAAAGGCTGCAGCCTGCAGCAAACACAGCAGCTCTGCTCAGCTGGGAAATCATTTGATCTATTTTACATCATCCACCCCGGCACTGAGGAGGCAAATATGGGAGTGAAATATGGACACGGAGCAAAGCATAAAAAGAGACTTAATAAAATGAGTAATTATGTTTTCCTAAAGCCTCTCATGCAAGCAGGAGGCACCAGCACCATAAATTGAGCCTGGTGCCTGTTTAGTGTGGGGAAAGGGAAAGCCCTGGAGCCAGGCCCTGTGAGCACAGCCCTGAGAGGAGGGAGGGCAGGGATCCAGAGCTGGTCTGTGCCACAGGGATCTGGAGCTGTCACTGTGCCCACAGCCAGCCCTGGGCACAGGGAACTGATCAAAGAGTCAAACGTGGCTGCCCCAGCACCTCTCCAAATTCAGCTCAAGTCCTCAGTGACAAATTTCCAGCGCCTTATGCTACTCCTCAGTACATGGATAAATTAAAAATAAAAAATAAAGAAGACAAGAAGGAAGGACACAGCTAAGCAGAATAATTGAGTGCCCAAGGATCCAGTGCTAGAAGCACTAACTGATTATTCTTTGGCATTTTAAATTCCAGTGTTTAAATTCCAGTTCACAAGCCTGATGAACTCATGATCCCACAGCACCAAACATAAAAATATGGATACTTTTTACGCCCACAACACCAAAAAGTTCCAGCTTTTTGTAAACACCGTTTTACAAACATGAGTAGAAAACTGGAAATGCAAACATTTTTGTTTTCCCAAACTATTGTAAACCTGTGTAAACTCTTAGCCCTTAGCCTTACTCTCTGCTGCTTCCCAGAGATGCCATGGCAGCAGGGATGACTCCTGGCAGTGCCAGAGTTGCAGCTGTGGCACAGGCATAGAAACACTGGGGCTGTGGGCACAGACGGGGAACGGAGCTGAGCCAAGGACACAGGTGTGAGCAGGAGCACAACAATGAGAGCAGACATGACACAGTGGGCTGGGAGGATTACACCTGGCCATGAGCCCTCTGAACACAAGCCTCCCTCCGTGGACTAGTGTGACCATGGCCAGGTGTTCCTACAGGAGATCAGGTGCAGCACCTGACCCTCTCCACTGGAGCTGGTGGCAAAGCTGCCCCAGCTCCACCTGGAGCAAGAGGGAGCCCCAGGCCTAAGGAGCAGAACCTGCATTTCAGAATGTTACATGTGGATGCAGTGCATAAACTCCAAGAGAGGCAATCAGTCCAGCAAGCCGTGTGGAACGTGAAGCTCTACTCCTGTAAGGAAGCTCCTTGTGTCCCACAGGACCCGGGGCAGCATGCTAAGGAGATATCTCTCTGTCCTTCCAGCGGGAACTGTGTTTTGTTCAGTGCAGCCAGGCACAGGGGAGGGAAGGGCACACTCTGCTGGTCACAGCACCGCACTGACAGCTCCCGATCAGACGGTGCTGCAGAGCCCTCCTGTCACACCTGCAGGGCAGGCGTGCCCAACAGGCTGCTCCTGCCACTGAGGGTGCCTCTGGTGCTTCCCTCGCGTTCAAACATCAGCCTACCTGCAGCCAGAGCTCCTTCTCTCCTGAAGGACAATTTTAGCACTGTAACATGTTCAAAAACTCTTTACCTTGGGCTTTTCATCCAGTATTTGCTGGCGGATCTCCTTGTGTTTCTCTATAAGTTTCTCCTGTCTTTTGCTCTGAGCATCTTCTAGCTGTCAGGAAAGAGCAAAGGATCTTTGTTCATGGATTGCACATCCTCACTCTCCCACCTGCCCCCCAACAAACACCCCACCCATCAGAACTGAGACACTGTCATCAAAGCTGTGACCAATTCCAAGCTGAAATCACACAAATGACACAGCACTGCCTGAGCATCCCTGAGCACAGCTGTGCAACAGTCAGGCGTGCAAACAGAACATCACATTTCACATGTAGCATTCAGGATCACAAATGTCTGAAGGACTTTCTGCACACTGCTAATGTTATTCAACTACAAATTTTGGGCTTCACTTAATAATGCCCTCAAAAGAAAAAAAACCCACTTAATTTGCAAATTCTTTAGGTTGCTTCCTAAATCAGACTCTTCTAAGCAAAAATGGGCCAACTTTAGAACATAACTATCTTTGCATTGAAATTAAGAGGAGAATTCAATGGCTGCACACGTTCCATAGTGATTTTACACCCCAAAGCACTGCAGGGCATGAATCCAGCCTGGTGTGAACCACCTGTAGCTTCAGAAAAGCTAACAACCGTAATAGAATTCTTTAATTGGTGTTTACAGAACTTACAGAATGCTTTTTACATTTCAGTAACTGTACAAATGCAAATAAAGTTAAGATATACTCTGCAATTAAACGTTCATTGACTTTCCTTATGCAATCTTTGCATTTGTCAGCCAGCAAGGCCGTTTAAAAAAATGGGTGCATTTTCCATGGATATTCAGAGATGAAATCGTATTGAATTCTTCCCTCCTCAGCACCATCCCCCAAGTGCTGACTAACAAATGATGAGGGGCTGTCTGAAATCCCAGCTTTCCTTTAACTGGAATCCCAGCTTTCCTTTACCTGGAATGGGAAGCAGAGCCTACACTCATCTGCTGGCAGCCAGCAGGTGCAGGACCCTCCTGCTGAAGCCCAGAAGCTGCAGTAGAACCCAGGCTGGAAGGTGCAAGGTGCCCTTTCCTGCCCCAGCAGCAGCAGAGGCTGACCTACCCTCTTGATGTACTGCACCACCTCCTGGATGTAGGAGCGGATCATCTCCGTCTTCTCCCTGGGGGAGCATTCCAGCATTAGTGCATTATTCCAGCATCACTGCAGGCACAGCAGCACATCCCACTGTGCTAAACACAATGGCTTTCACCTGCCTGAGCTCTTTGCCTCGCCCAGGCCAAACCCTGGGTGGTTCGCCTAAATCCTACAAAACACGAAGTAAAAACAATTCAATCGGTGAGCCTGTGTAATATTCCTGCCCAAAGTTGTGCAGAAGCTTTGGATGAGCAGCAGTGCAGCCAGACTGAGTCAGAAGGGACCCACCAGAAGGAAGGTCTCACACCTCTGTGCCCTGCTCAGAGTGAGGACAGGCTGTGTCACACACAGGGAAAGCTGACTTTCAGTGGGGTTCCCATCTCACCTCCCTCAAGGGCTCTTGGAAAAGCCTGACAGAGGAAAGTCCTTGGGAAAAATGAGGAAAAAAAATGAAAGGGCAAGAGGAAAGAACAGCTATCTGTGTGTCCCTGAGCCTTTGTCACCAGTGCCACATTTACCTCTCAGCAAATCATTTCCTCCTGCAATTGATTTTTACAGAATTTCCACAATGGCCAGCTGCTTTCTTCCAAAATGAACTCCATGCCCTCTGAACAGCTCTAACTATGTTAAGTATTTCTCCTCATTTTCATAATAAATTATTCTCATCTTTATTTTTTTTAATAGGATGTTTATTGACATTTTTAAAGTGCTAATTCTGAAACTACCTGAAACCCTTCACTGTGTGTGTCTGTGATTTCCGTTCAGGGCTACCAAATCCAGATTCTCTCTTGAGAGGCTCCAGACCCTGTGCAAACCCTTTCACCTGCAGCAAACCAAACACAATTGTGCCTTTGGTAAAACTCAAACACTAGAGGGTTTCCTTTTTTGTTTTGTTCTGTTCGCTCCTCTTGTATTTTAACTGCTCTAAAGTAAAGCTCGTGAACAGGAGATTGGAGCAGCCCCAGGAAATGAAATTATTGTCAGGGAAAGGACTCTGGGGAGGTCTGACTGAAGGCTGCCTTGCATTTAGGGTCAAGACGTTCCTTTGGTTACCAGCTGTGAAAAATCCTGTGCAATGATATGGATCCAGGGATTTACTTACTCTTCCATTTGATTTTTATCCTTGGACTTTGCTTCTGTGATCTTCTCCTGCCTCTTCTTGTCCATTTTTTTCTTCAGTTCTTTCTTTTCTCTAAAGCATAAAAAATAAAGGGGAGTACAAAAAGTATCCAAACAAATCCCACAAGGAGCAGCAATCAGTGGTAAGGGAACAGCACTCACTTTTCACATGTTTCCTTCAGTTTCTTTAGCTGGTTGTTCTGACACTCCTCTGCTACATCTGTCAGCTTCTGAATTAGCTAGAAAAAAAATCCCAAAAATAAAAATATGTATCTTCAGCTAAACACCATAGAGGCAGCTCAATTTCCTGAAAAGCCTGCAGCAGGCAGGAAAGTGTTCCACCATTCCCAGATGAATTACCAACGATCAAAAGGCAGCAAACATCATTATCAGGGTAAACACATGATTAACTTGTGGAGTTCAGCCAGAATGGTGCATGTCCAACTCACCCAGAAACTGCTACTCCTCTGTACAGCGAGGTGACACACTTTAAATGTAAAACCAAAATATATTTCAAGTATTTTACCTTTGCTAGGAATGAAAATGCCTGTGAAAAAACATAAGGGGTCACAAATTGAATTTACACAATGCTAATTGCCAGCTGAATTTGTGTGTGACAGAACATCCAGGTTTTTCTGTGAGGGCTGAAATGTTCCTCCTGTAATGAGGATTATTACAAGGAATGCTTTGGATTTTGGGGTGGTCAGGGGCATGTTGAAAACCAGACATGGCAGGTATGAAAGGCAAGCACAGAGAATCATAACCTACATTTTGGTGACAGAAGAAAAATGTCTGAGTCCCTGTGTGAAATCTGCTGTGGGTTAGCTCTCCTTGGTGCCCAAAGCAGGAACAAAGGGCACAGCTGTGCTGGGCAAGCTGACAGCAGGGGAGCTGTGGGCACGGCTCCTGGGCCAGCTCAGGGAATAAAGTGGGAATTGGGACCCTAAAAGGGTTTGATCGCCCTTCTAGGTTAAGTCTAATTCTGTAAAATCACCCTCCCAGGGTGATGAACCAGGAGTGTGTAACAAGGCATAGCTGGTCTGATCCAACTTTTCATTCCACAGATAAAAGCAGAAGGGTACCAACAATAGGCTCTCCTCTAAAACAAAGCCATCAGAAAGAATCTCCCAGCTAAAAGGCAAGTTTGAATTGGAATACTAACTCCTGCACAGCTCAGAGGGAAAGCTGCCCAAAAGTTCTGTGCTAAAAAATGAATTTACTGTGCCACCACCCAACAGGATAATGCCAGAAATGTACCTTGGCTTTGAGAAATGCCATTCCCCATTTTGGAATGAGAAAAGAGTTACCTCAGGAGATAAGCCCAGCTATGTGGGTCCAGAATGGTTGTTTTATAAAAGCCCAAATCTCTGAGAAGCAGCTAGCAGCAGTGAGTGGGATGGGGACTGTCCCTGGGGTGGGTACACACACCCACCCTGGAGCACTTGGACAAACACCCCAGCTCTGTGCTGTGACCATGGAAATCAGCCCGTGCAGGGCACACAGATCACAAATCACTCCTCTTACCTGCTCTTTGTGGCTGCCAGGGCAGAGCAGACAAATCACCCAGCAGGAGGGAGGTACAACAAACATCAGGTATGTACATACAAACATCGGGTAATAGAAAAAACTGCAAGAGGGGGCTGTCTGGAGCTGAGAAACAGCTTGCACTCCCATAACACCCTTTAAGAATGTTCATTTCTGCCTAATATCCATGAGCATCAGCTTCCATCTGCCCAGCTCTCTGTTTCAGCTCAGAGGGCCTATGATCCTGCTGCAGTTGTCAGCCAAACTCCAGCTGTAAAAACAAAGCTGACCTGGACCAATGAATGCAAAGTATTTCCCCACCATATCCAGAAAATGTCTTGCATCCCCTCAGAGTGCTCATCTGCCACAGGAACACTCTTTGGCACAACCCTCTGTCCTGGGGAATGTTCACATCTATTTTCATGGCGTTTCAATTTATTTCCTGGCTAACCCTGCCTCCTTGTGCATTGCAGGTTTGGAAAAGGGGCAGAACAAAACAGGAACATATCCAAAAGCTGCAGTAAAAGGAGCTATGTAACCAGAGGGAGGAACAATGCTGCTGCCTTTGTGCCTTGCACCCAAAGCCCTCTGAGCTGCTGGGAGTGACAGAGTGACACAGCAGAGCACAGGGAATGGGGCTCTGCAAGGGACCCCAGGCAGGAGGAAGCCCCAGCTATGAGAATATGTCCTGGTGCCCCCAGTGCCCCCCTGGGCACAAACCTACCAGCTTGATGTGCTCCCGCTTCTGGTACTTCTCGCTGTAGTACTGCTCCTGCCTGAGGTTGAGCAGCTGCTGCTGCTGCTTCTCCTTCAGCTCCACCAGCTTCTGGGTCATCTCCGAGTCCAGGGCAGCCAGCTCCTGCTCGATGGAGGAGCTGTGGTCAGGGCTGCTGGTGTCAGACCTGCAGGGAACAGCACAGCTCACCAGGCTGGCACCACCCTGCCTCCCCTGGGCCCAATCTGCTGCTGAAGGCACATCTGCATAAACTGCCTGCTAACGAGCTCCTCAGCACCACACACAGAGCAAGTAGAGGGGAGATTTTAGCCCCAGTGAGTTAAAAAGAAGTTATTAATGATTTGTTAATGGGATGGCTGCATCTTTTAAACCTCATCCCACTGAGCCACCAGGGTGGTGGCAACCAGAGTTAGTGAGCTGTAAAGGCAGCTGCCAAGACTTCCCATGGAACTTGTTTATCCCCTTCCAGACAGAACTTGAACTTCAAAGCTGCACAGCCTCCAGCAGGAGGGGTGAATGCTGATTATTTTGGAAACAAAGTCATCCCTGAACCCGCTCAGCAATAAATTAAAAAGCTGAACGTTACATCTGCATTTACCAAGCGCTTCACATGCAGGAGCATCCCTTCCTTTATTTGGTGTTTTGTCCCCCCTTCAGGAAATGCCATGCATAGCACACACAGCAAAGGGCTCCATGGGCTGCTGCCTCCAGAAGGAAAGCTCACACCCCAGTGGGGAGCAAAGCTCAGGCAGGCAGCTCTCAGGAGCAAGGGGAAAAACACAATAACAAAGGGAAAAACACAATAACAAAGGGAAAAACACAGCAAAGAAGCTAAAAAGCAACACTAAGGAACACCTTGGGTCTGTTTTACTCTTTCTTAAGACAGAAGGAAGGACAGATGTAACTGTGAAAGGAGATAAGATGACACCAAACTGCCCAGGAGAAAATTAAGCAGCAAATCCAGTATCACTCTGAGGCCAGCACTAAGCAAACCCAAGGAAAACACATGACAGGAATGAGATGCTGCTGTGTCCCTGCCCTGCTGCTGTTTGCTGCCAGGCTCAGGTGCTAAATCAGTTGCCTGGGAAACGTCAGAGCAGCGCAGGAGATGGACAAAACAGCAAAACCTTGAACAGGGAGGGCTGACACGGGAGAAAAATGAGTTTGCTCCTCAGAAATGTGCAGAGACTCCAATGCAGAGCTGGCTCTGCCTCTCTCCTCTCTCCCAGGTTCAAGTGTGCAGCTGCTGTCACTCAGAGCTACCTCTGCTGAATAATGTGATCCTGCTCTCATCCCTGCGAGGACACCAGTGCCAAGGTAGCCTCCTTTTATTTCTCGTGCTTTAACTGTGTTTGAATATTCTGCTAAGAGGTTAAGTGTGTTGGGTGAGGGTAATTTAAACATTACAGGGCCAGAAGACAGCATGAATGAATATTACAGTCAGCATATGATGCCATTGCACAACACATATTTTAAAGCTGACATTTCTCTTGTATTTCTGGGAAAAAGGAATCAGGCCTATTTCTAAACACTGGCTGAAATACTGGCTGCTTTTTATGGGATGTGATCATTAAAGGAACTTCAGAGCAACACCAACAAAACACTAGTGCACGTGTATAAATAAATATTTCAAACTTCCTGCAGACAATTCCGGCTGTACTGAATCTTGGCTCAGTTTTAGACAAGGGCAGAAAGCAGAAATTGCTCCTGACAGAGACAACACATTTTTATGGCCAGCTGATACAGGGACTCCTGTGAAGCAGTGATTTATACTCTGCAGTTACAGGCAAATAGTATCCAAACGCTGTAATAATAATAGCAATAATTAAAAAAAATAAAAAATCCTCTTTCTCTTGTGCTCTATTAGAAGTCTGCTGCTTGAGATAATATGTAATTGCAAGCTTGAAAATCCCTGAAAACATATTTGTGCCTTTTTTGAAATGTAACCTCCAGACTTGTCTGTATGTGCACATAAACTCCCCATCTGTGACACCACTGGGGCAGCTCCACACAGGAGACTGCAGGGTTTTGCTGCCTGACATCAGCAGTGGTTTGCAGTCAGACCAAACACAGCAAAAAACCTCAAACCCTTTCTTGCTCAAAAACAAATGAGTCATTGTATTCATCCAGCTTGATTTTCTGCTTAGATGTGAATAGGAGGAAAGGCAGAAACGTGCTGTTGTTGTGCCTGCCACTGTCTGTCACACACTTTGGTGGTGGAAAACACTGCAGATAAAATAAAACATCCCTGGGCTGGCAGCTGACAGCCAGCCATTAAAGGGAGCTTGTTACACTCAAATACAGAACCTGGGAGCCTGAAAACTGGCAGCAGAACACAGATATATTGTGAGTGCCCACCTCTTCTAAGGCCAGTGACATGTGCCATCAGGAAGGCAGAAATGAAAAAGCTCCTGCCAGGGACAAGCCATGGCCTGAGTCCCAGTCACTCACATTTAGAGGTACTATCAACAAGGCTGGCATCCAGAGCAGGCTTGCAGCTTTTTTACCTGATATCTCCTACCAAAAAGTAATTTTTTTAGAAGTTTGTTCAATATCATCATATTTAAGAACTGCAGCTACATCAATTTCATGTCAAAGTTAAGTGGACTTTAGTGCTTATCTAGTTACTTGAAAAAATAAATGATGTTAAGACAAAAAGGATGCACCAATGGGAGAAATAAAAAGTTCATTTGCAAGAGTCTCTGGCATTGACTGGCTGTGTGTGTGTACATGCTTGGCCAGGAGTTAGGACTTGATCTTTATTAACATACAGCTCCTACCATAAGAACAAGGCAATCATTGCGGAAAAGTCAGTAAGAATTCAGTGCAGGTTTTTGCATTTCAATTGATAATAATAAAGAATGTACAAGTTGTATCAGGACAGAGAAGGAGACAGGGTGGTGCAAGGCTTGGACAGAGAAGGCACAGAAGGGGTGCTCCTGCAGGGCAAAGCCAGGCAGTGGTTAGGACACTCCCAGGTGTTCCAGATCAATCATGATTTATCAGCAGTCAGGTGTTTACAATCTCCAGGTGCCTCTTTCCCCCAGTTCCACACCTGGTGCCCTCTCCTGTGGCCTGAGCTTTCCCAGGGCTCCGCCATGGAGCCATCGCTCCCACCTCCCCCATGAACCTGCTGCTGGGGATTTTCTGTGCTCTGCCCCCTCTGTATGAATTCTGTACCCTAAAAGCAGCAGAGGTGTCTAGGACAGGTCCCCAGCAGCCAGTGCTGAGGAGGGTGCCTCACCCACCTCTTCTTGCTGTCCCTCTTGGCAGTTTTCTCCAGCACGGCCCTCCGCCGCAGGTAGTCGTTCTGGATCTCGTTGTACTTGGCCGTGTGCTCCTTGATCAGGTCCGTGGTTTTCTTGTGGTGCCTCTTCACCAGGTCCTTCATCTCCTTGTAGTGCTTCTTCTGCAGCTTCACAAAGGCCTTCTGCTGCTTCAGCTCCTCAATGGTCTGTGCCTCCACCTCTGCAATGGCAACCACAAAAGGCACTTCAGCTCTCCAGCAGGGCAGGATTTCAGCCAGAGCCAGGGATTGCCATGAGCAGGAATGAACAAACCCTGGTGTTTGCTGAGGTGAAGGAAATATGGCATAAACTGAGTGGTTTTACCTGAAATAAGCTAGCTTGAAAGCACTGTAACAAAATGGTTCCACTACTATTCACTACATTCAGAACAAATTTAGCCCTTGTTCTCACAATAATGCTGCTCTTTTTTCTGGCTTAGATGGTAGCTTGGTGGTCATGAAACTACAGCAATTTCTAAAACATTCCCTGTTGGCACTCCATCTCATGAGATGTGCCTAAACATTGTTTACTTCAGCCCTGAGGAAGAACACTTGGCATGTGCATTTTGTAGGAGTCACTGCAGTCCCACTCACTGGAAGAAATGCATAAGCCAGGTGCCTATTTCATAAAAAATGTCTTTTTCTTGACAAGAAAGCTTGTCATTCTTGCATTCTGTGTATTTATTACCTGTGAGGACACTCTGGATAAGATCTTCTGTCTTTGCAGGTGCTTTCACAGAACCTAGAGGTAAAAGAGATGTTTAATTCCAATTCTTTTGAAACAACAGCCACGACTGTGCTGCTTGAGGGTTAGAACATGGCAGGTGACACAGGACACACCCTGACATGGGCAGACTTTAATCACTGCAGAAAACACATCTTTTGGGCATTTGAGGAGCATGAAGACAGAAAGGTGACCTTCCAAACCCCACCTGAGCTGTGCTGTTACTGATGAGGAGGATGGACTCCCTGACACCACTCACAGGAGCCATGTGAGTGGCATTAGGCTGGCAGTACAACCACATTACACAGTGTGAGGCACTGCAGAATTCCTGCACACAGCATGAACCCAGCAGATACTGCAGCCATAAAATCATAATCACTGTGTTTAACAAGCATTTGCTACAGGACATGTGTCAGTACAAAGCACACAAGTGCCTAAGACTGGGTTTTGTGTGTGGAGTAAGATGTCACTGTGCATAGAAACAATTTCGAGAGATTCCTACACTTGCAGCCACAACAAAAAACCCCCAGCACATTTTCTTGCTCATAAAGAATTTCAGTTTCACCACCAATGCAACTGTTAAGTAGAAGATATTTGTATATTTGAAGCAGAGAAAAGTGGTGGAAAAGTTTCTACTTATTTTAGACAAATAAAACAAACACCACAACTTCCCACCTTTGTTCTTTAAACACAAAGCACTTGAAAAAATATTACCCAGACTAATTTAGAAAAGATGGGACTTTGTTTTCCTCTTTTCCTTTGTGTTGTTTGTTATGTTTTACCTGGTGCTGGCTGGCTGTGCACAACCTGAGTGGCTGGTTTGGGGGTGAGGGAGGCAGTGAAATTCACCCCATTTTCTGCTGGTGTTGGCCTGGGCTCATTGTTGGCTTTGGACGGTGCATCCCCGTGGTCAATCTGAAATCACATCAGCATTCACATCATTCCTCCCAACAAACAGACTTTATTTACTTGCTTTAGTTTAGCTTGGTTTTTAAATAAAAATTCTGCAAATATTGTATCTAAAAATCATTCTAAAATAAAACAACGGAAGAAGAGATCCTTAAGAGCTGTGGTAACCCAGGTGGCTCATTAGTGCAGGGTAAATTTCAAGAAGAAATGGAGCATGCATTATTCTGAAAAAGTATTTTAAGCAGGAATAACTCATCAGGGACATTTTTTAGTGCAACATATATTAGCTGCACCAGATGTGAAGGCTGTACTGCAGTGGAGAGCCATAAAATCTTTCTAGAAATAACATAGGTGCTGCCAGGAGAATGCTCCCCAAATCCCTGCTGCGAGCAAAACATGTACACAAGACTGCTGCTAAATTTCATAGACACACCCAGCACTGCCATTCCTCACCATTCTCACAGAGCAGCAACATCCTTGTGACTCCCAAGATCTGACATTGCTGTAACCACACTCCAAGGGAATCTGTGAGCAGTACCTCCATTCTGCTGCATGGGCACATCTGTGGCATCCAAATACTGAAGCATTTCCCACACTCCTTTCCTTCTCTCCAGTCTCCTCAGGGCTCAGGCTTGCAGCGTGCACTGCACCACACTCTGGACATCTGAACTGTCCCTGTGACCATCAGGATTTAACAGGCACCAGCCCTCACAAACAGAAGGTCATTCAAAGCAATTTATTCTGAAATGTTTCTGCTTCCTGCTGTCCCTGCCAGGCCTGGTTGCCATGGAGTCTCAGGGAAGTTTTGGATTTGTTCCTTCAGCTGCTTCCATCTCCTCCTCTGATGCTAATCACATTACATGAGGAGGCAGGACAGCACAGTTGGCTTTTTATTTCTGCCCCATGACTACCCCAGGCTTGCAGAACTTCAGCCTGTGCTGCATCAATGGAGGCAGAATGGGTTTTGATCCAAGGCTTTGTGCTGCTGGGCTCCTTCAGCCTGGCCCTGGCACTACGCTGTGCATTCCAAAATTCCTGTCTCACCAGCCCATCCCTACCAGAATGACAGCAGAGAGGTGCTGTGGGCACGAGCATGATGCAACTAAAAACCAGTGCCAACAACTTCATTTACACCAAGCAGCAATGACTGCAGGAAAATACAGGAAAACCTCATTCAGCCAACTTTTCTAACAGAGGAACAATGTGACAGGCCAAAGCTGTAGCTGTGATAAACACACACAGATGTGGTGATCCTCACAGCTCTCCTCAGGCTGCAGTGCATTAGTTTAATAAAAACAATGTTTGCTACACACATCACCTACATTTAATGCAAATAAAGCCAGAATTCCCAACTCCTGGCAGCTCTGTGCCCCAGTGCATGGGAAGTGGGTGTTACCT